CATGTGCAAGGTCAATTGGCCAACTCACAAAACGATGACAAGGTTGTGTCGCTAGAAAAAGAGGCGGATGTGGACACAAATACCAACTAGGCCACCAACCAAATGGCTAAGAAAGTTGTCACTCTATTAGAATATAGCAAGGCAATCATGCCAAGGAGGTTGGCCAGTGTCTTTGATAGACTTGGTCCTACAAGAAACAGATAGAGCCGACCCCGTATTTTGCCCTTTCAAACCAGACCCCCTCCTCTTCCCTTAAGCCATCCACATCTGTCCAACCCCCATCATTGGGAAGTCAGCATGGACAATCTCAATCAGAAACCGCAAGTGAGCTCGCTCAGAGATACATGCATCTTCCGCTTAGGAATAGACGTGAAAGATGAGCCGTACTAGCTCAAATGCGAGCCAACCCAAGCTGATCGCACAAGGAAAAAAAAGATAAGCCCAAGGAAATGTGCCTCTAAAAATCAACCATTCTAGGCAAAATCCTTCTGTGAAAAGAAGTACTAAGACATATAACAGCCAGTTCGGACTCCATAACCACGACAAACATGAGCCGACCTTTACAACAAATCAATAAACCAAGGGCACAAGCCTCACAGAAAAATGATATGCTGGCTTTCCCATCCCATCCAAATGATGCGGTTAAGGGACGGAAGTTTTAAAAACTACCCCCATGAGAAAGATAAAAGGCCTAGCTTAAGAAGATGAGCTCCAACTTTGGCCATCTCAGGCGAAATCCTCTTGCAAAAAAATGTGCTAAGGCATATATCCGCCGAGCCAAGCTCTTTAGCATCAACTAATAAGAGCTGACCTCTCGACAAATTAGTGGCAAAAGAAGTGTGATTTGCTATCTTTTCCAACCAAAGTAGTTAAGGCATAAGCCTCATAGAATTATATTGTCTGATGAAGCCTTGGCTCAAAAGGTAAATGCTAACCCACCTATTGTTGATGGGCTGAAGATTTTGACCCCATTCAAAGAAAGTAAAAAAATGAGGGTCAGAAAAGGTCAAAAAGGGCATGGCCCCACCTTATGTATAGCCTCAAACCAAAAAACGTACTAGAAAAAGTACTATTCAAAGAAGAGATGAAGGAGAAACTACCTCATAGAACTACCTTACATAGAAAATGATAAGGGAGGACCCCACGAGAACTACCCCATGAATACGCAAGTCCCCTTTGACCTACTATAGAGAAAGATCATGCGTGAGCTTTCAGCTCAACTTCATAAAATCATAAGAAAAGCGGTCAGAAGTGTCAAGACTTCGGTCTGGGCAACAGGGTTGACCCTTTTTCCTTAGAAAAATATATACATAGCAAGCCATAGAGATTCAGAAAGTAGGGACCTCAACTCCCTTCAAAATGTCTTAAGAAGACAGCTTCGGCCCATAACTTCAACTCCTATAAAGCCAAAGACTTAACATACTTCAAGACCCGAGACAACATCCACGTTAAGTGCCTGTGCAAATCTTTATCCCCATTATGTGAATATCTATGTTTGGATTTGAGGACTAGTTAGATTACTGATAGCTTGCGTGTCACATTATGATTAGCACACTTCATAATCCGTAACATCACACATTACATACACTGTCATCATGCATATGACTTGATATTTTCTCATGTCAAATCTTGAAAGAATGTAAAATACCATTTATATGTAGTTGGAAGGACAAAGCAAACCCCATGCCTACTTAATATACTGAAAGCCTAAGACTAGCTAACCAAGAAGGAGAGTGAATTGGTTATAGTAACTTTTTCAAAATAATTTTAAATATACAATTAATTCTCACTTAAATATAGCAATTAGTCAAATATGAAAAGGAACGAAGGCTAAGATAAATTCACAAGTAATAAATAAAAACAAGAATAAGTAAAAGGGAAGAGAAGTCAAACGATATGATATGGAGGTTCGATCCAATGCAATGATCTACGTCCCTC